AGTGTTTAGTTCAACAGAGAGAGTTTAATTGTTTCAAGTTAATAAAATAAATGTCAATTTTATTATAATTTAATATTTAATATATATACATGTATTAATTTATATTAATACAATTATTTATAAGATATTTTAATTAATTCTAAAATAAATTATTATGATTAGCTTCACGGTAGTAGTCTTGGCAGTTGAGAAGGGCAAATGGAGAGGAAAATTTTTGTTTGTTTTGTTTTGTTTTTTGTCTTTTTTAAAAAAAATATCTATTTTAAGCTGAGCTATGAATTTCCCAAGTGCATGGAGAGAGAGAGATATCCGGGTCGTTTGTTGTCCGTTTAAGCTTGAGCCGCCGGCTCAGGTAAAAAGAAGAGTCGTTTTCTTTGAAAAATGGACCGACATGTCGTTCTTTTGCATAGACTCTACCTTTAAACGACGTTCACTAGTAATTGTACATGATTGTCAAAAAAAAAAAAAAAGATCAGTAGCAAAAATCTTCGTTGTGTTTAATTACAATATATTAAATTTAAGGTTAATCCCATTTTTTATCCACAAATAAAAGATGGAGTTGTTCCATATTAGTCGAATTTTTTCACAAGAAAATGATATGGTATCCTACCGTCCGTCCCGCTTTTAACTTTTTCTCCAGTTTTCTTCTTCTGTCCTTAATCTTATAGACACGAGCAAATATTTTATTTCAAACTACATGTCACTACAACGACATTCAGATGTCGTTTTTTAAAGCCAAACGACATCAAACTTTCACAACAAAATGGCTCTCACTTTCCTAGCTCTTCTAAAACCTTCTTTGCCAGTTGAATTTTTCTCCCTTTGTTCCGCAAAAGGTGAAAGTCCTCTCTCTGTTTATAACAAAGAAAGTCCAAAAAGAGAGAGAGCATGATGAACCCACAAACAGACAAGCTTGTGAGGAGGACGACAATGGTGGCTACCATCACCGCCTCTTATTTTCTCTTAACCGCAAATTATGGCCCCGAACCCAATGCTCTTGACCCTGTAAGATTATTTAATATTATTACTCGTGATTCTTGTTGTGAACAACTGGTTGAAATATAATTAGAAATACCTAAAGATGATTTACAATTCTTCAATCGTTTCAGCAACTCAGATTGGAGAAAACAAGTTTTTGGAAGGTCTATTTTGATGTTAGGAATATTGGGTCTCTGTAATTTTGCTTATTTTATTGTGTTATTCTTCTGAGCTCCCCCCCAATAAGCGTTTAGTGATTTAGTTCATTGTTTTGGGGATTTTTGGTATTGGAATTACTGTGCTGATTTTTCTAGTCTTTTTTATTTTCATTCTGGGCTTTGCTTTTTCATTGTTGAGCTTTTTAATTATTGTCGGTAGTTGATTTTCCAAGTTTGATTCTTCTTTTTAAAAGGAATAAATACCAAAAGATGGCTAACTCAGCCCAAATAATACATGAATTCTGCTGTTTGTTTTGTTTTGTTTTTTTGTTTGTTTGTTCCTTTTTTTTTCTTTATAAAATAAAAGATAGGAGAAGCCAACCATGTTGGCGCCTGCTTGAAGGACCCGTCTCGCAGAAATTTGATGCACCTATTAGTGATTATGTAGTGAATTCAGTGCTGAACTTTCGGGCGGCGGGCATGCCCGATGCCCGAAAATTTTCGGGCACGTCGGGCAGGCCACTCTCGCCGCCCGACCACGGTTTTCTTCAGGCACGGGCTCGGGTAGCCCGAAAATATTAATCCTCCGACAGCCCGCCACTGTGGAGAAGCCGTCCCCCGCTGTTCGCCGGATTTTTTTGAATTTTCCGGCAATACCCAAAGCTGCCTGAAACTGTGCCCGAAGTTCTGTGACCGTTATCCGAATTTTTGTGACCGTTGCCCGAAAAATGCCCGATTTTTTTTTACCGTTAGCCCAAAAAAATGCCTGAATTTTGAACAAAACGGGTCTTTTGCCCGAACCCGAATTTTGTCTGAATTTTTGAACCAAACGGTCGGATTTTGTACCGTTGCCCAACCTGCCCGATTTTTGCCCGAACTGCCCGAAAAATTTGTAGCCGTAATAGTGATAACTTGGTCGTATCTTGTTATATGAAAATTCAATAGGCTACGAGATTATTAAGAAAAGAAAAAAGGCTCGGGAAGCATAAAATAGTAAAAGTTTAGAGATCAACAAGTCATGGCTTCTGATGCTAATAGAAGTAGGCCCTTTCATTAGGAGGTGTAACATTAAATCCTAGAAATAAGTGTTCTGATGTATCATGTATATTGGTTGAAATGCAAAAATCAAATAATTCTTTGTGGTGGAACAAAATATCTCTCATTTCGCACTCAAATAAATTCTTCTTTTTGGTTTCCAAAGGAATGTTATTATGCTGCTTTGAACGGTGCACTAATCCTTTGAATCCGGTACCAACGGGTATCATCCCCCCTAGAACAACATTCTCTTTCAGACCCTTCAACCAATCGATACGACCGCGTAAAGCGGCTTTTGCTAAAACTCGAGCAGATAAGATTGATATGAACTTCATTGTTAGTTGGTTTTTTAGTTGTCCCTTGGGGAGTTAGTTAGAAGTTTGTTAGTAGGAGTTAGTTGTATAGATAAGAGGTTTAGCAGCTGAAGAGAAGGTCGGATTAGTGAGCAATTCGGGAGATGCTTGGGAGAGGCGGGTAGGCTCTCGAATCTCTACCCAGTTCGCCTGTGTGGGTTTTCTTTGTAATCCTTTCAATTACGTCATCAATAAAGTTCAATTTTGTGTTCAGTTTCTGAGTTTGTGGATAGTCTTACCAAAGATCATGATGTGAAATATTGCTTCCGGTGTTCACTATTTTATTTATGATACTGCCCCATCGTGGATGGCAATTTTGATCTTAGACGGAAGAAATATTCTAACTCTTTAGGTACTTGGTATATCACACCTATGCAGATGAATCAGCCTAATTGTACATGAATAATTGTAGATCAGTTCTGTTCTTTTGCTCGTCTGTATTGTTGTTCTGTCTAAATATGAGCTCTTCAATTCATGGGGTATGTATATGTTTATATTTTGCACTTCTCTTTTGAGTAAAATTTGTACTGGTTTTTCTGATATAGACACACAAAAACACTACTTGGGCTTGATTTAATCTATTCTTTTCTCCAAATATTTTTCTTTTGGCCAGGCATTAATCGTTTATTGTTGTCTTAGCAAAACTAAGGTTAGAGATATAACTTTGTTTTATTTATGAAGTTGCTGACTTGATGTATGTATTATATTGTCATTTAGGGTGGCTGCTGTGGGGATATTCTGTTGACTAGCCCTGCAGGCTAATCTTTATTGGTTGTCTTGCGACTTGTGAGCCTCAACATTTTGGTGCTTTCATAATTGATTAGTGATAGTCCTTGTTGCTTTTGACTTCATTATATTTTGGTTGGATCAGTTGAAGATTGAAGATTGGTTGATGTTTCGAGTACTAACAGCAAAAACTTTCCGTGGCAGATTAAGAAGGCGATACAATCAGCAGAAAATTCTGTCAAAGAGTTTTTTGTGGGATCAAAGAACCAGTCTCGAGAAAGTGAAATTGAGAAGCTTGATAGCAGTAGCGCGAAGAAACATCCATAGTTTGAATAACAGTTAGCTTTGTATATGAATATCATGGATTTGAGTAAACTTTTCAGCTCTTATCAAAGCGGGTAAAAAGAGTGAACTTTTTAAAAAAGGGGGAAAAAAATTTTTTTTTTTTTTTTTTTTTTTTTTTTTTTTTTTTTTTTTTTTCAATGAAGAAGCCGTTTTAGATCAAATTCCTTTTCCTTTTTAAGGCGTTTGGCTCAATGTACTAGAGCATTCAAAGATCAATCAATCTTGAACCTGGCCATGGGCTTGACAAACGTGATTTTAAAGTTAAAAGACGTAATGCCTCTAAATTCTTACGCCATCCACAGAACAGTATGGTACGCCATTTTTCTTGTCTTTGGGTCTTCCAAGCTGCTCGTATTTCTGTCTTCACATGTTATTGCTCCCTTTTTTTACGTTTTTGAAGAGCTTCTTTTTGCACATGTCTTCTCGTACATTCTGCCCGTGGAGGCACACGTTGTTCATCCTCAATTTCAATGGAGTATTGCCAGAGTTCCTGGTCTTGGGGGCCTCCTTGCGACCATATCAACTTACATTCCTGCATTAGCTGCTGCCTTTTGTCTTTCAGGAACAAGACGACATGCTCGCGGTTAGGGGGAAGGAAGGAATAGCTCGAGAGGTGATTATCAGGACGAATGATCATGCCTGGCTGGTAATTGCAAGGACTCAGATTTCTTCACGGAGGAGCTGATCAATAAGGCACTTTTCACAGCACATCTATAAGTTTCGCACTAAAAGAGATTAGAAGAAACAAAACCTAAATGTCCCTGGAACAAATTTTTGGTTTAACATAACATAATACGAGGTATAAAGGATAGAAATCTTCATGAGCCAGACAAAACAAAAACAGTAAAGCTAATGATTCAAGAGCTAAATTGATCACACTAAACCAGTTTAACACCAATTGAGCTGGCATAACAATCTACAAATTAAGTAGCATTTAACCATGGTGCTCTTGATTAGTCGATTATATCTATGAGGATAGCCTAGGAATTGGCGTTGGCCAAACAGGATGCTTGAGAGGGTAACCAACTATGTCGCGGTCGAGTTTCTCAATAAAAACTCTCTCTATCCCTTCAAACTTGGTTCTTGAGTATCTGTATGTTGCATTGTGTAACGCAATTCTCATAGAAAAAGAACACGTCATCGTCATTGCTTGGGTGAAAAGTAAGCGCCACAAACGGCTTTACATGGCTGGAAAACTGAACCTTCTGCTTCAAACACCATGAGTTACTACCTATATTATCATTATCAAGCTCCCAAACTCTGAACAAGATGCAGCCCTCGCTGGTGGCCATGCGACCCAACCGCAGCCTGCCCCAGCAGGCCCTAGGCTAATCTGCCTGGAATTGCACCTTGTGGGGCCCAGGTCCACCGGTGGGTCAATAATGTGGCACCGTTTTGGTATTTCATCAAACATGTCAAAGGCTTCAATTCTAATAAGCCAATCTTCTCCGTCAAACCAGTACAACATCTGGTTACAAGCCACGACACCAAAAGTTTTCAAGAATACGGAAAATTCACTCAAAGGACGAGGAGCGGACACGACTGATACTGTCCACTTGCTGGTTTCAGAGGAGATGATTTGCACGTGGAATTTGGTTGTATCACGAGAATGTCCAATGCCGGAGTCGATAAGGACAGCCTTGAACCGAAGCTTTTTGCCGCAGAATTCACGTCTACATGCCAATACAGCCCTTTCGGCCATATAAGAGGCATGATTAGGGGTTTTCAAGGAGATCAACACGCTTTTCAGTGAAGATATTGAAAATGGAAATAGTCGAGTAGACATGGATGTTTGGACGGTATCAATAAGTCGTTACAAGAAGAGTTTACTTGACGTAGCTTTATGACTTATTTACAACCTAGAAAAATAAGATGTGATTTTGGAAGGCCTTTGTAAAGATAACCTAATAGAAAAAAGTTTTATTCATAAAATAACAATTCAAAAATTTTTATTTACAAAATGACTTTTCTGTTTTTTTTGTTTTTTTTTTTGCTTTTTCTTAAAGCCACGAGCGTAGAAGAAAGCTCACCAAAACAAACCACAATCGACAACCATGGCGTTCATGATCACCCTCTCTCCTTCTTCTCCATCTTCTTCAACTGCTCTAATCTCGGTTTCCTTTGTTTGGAGTGCTTTGCTTTTGGATTGGAAGCTACCAAAAAGGTTGAAGAAATAGAGAGAGAAAGAGAAAGAAAAG